TAATGGAAAATTTTAGGGCCCAGTCCATGCTTATGGATTCGTTAAGTAACATCGCCTAGAGAGAAAAAAGAAGACAAGTAACGTTTTGTTTCGTTTTACCAGTTAAAGATGAGAGAAATTAGTGAAAAAATTATATATATGTAAAAGTATATTTCTGAGTACGTAAATTCATGAACCATTAAATTACAGAGACACTAAGGTAATGTAAGTGTGGCTACTAATAAGTTCGAATTCATCCACAGACACCTGTAAGCTCCCTCTAGGGCACAGTTCGGTAAGTACGGCCAGGTAAGGAGAACTAATCGAAAACCCGATGAAACGGACTAAGTTTTCATGCGTAGTATCTCTCCGCTGAAAGTAAAATATAGAGTATTTTAGCTTTGCCACTTTAACACAGTTTATGTCGTAAAATATTCACAATACATTTCTTTTGTCAAAGTTAAAACAACCGTAAAGGAGCGAGAAAGTGAAAAATCAATGATATATTTGTTTGTTATTAAGCACCAATTTGACTGGTTAATTTGTAGCCTCCAATATACATACGCTCGAGCGATCACAAGCACACTTAACTTTATCAATCATAAAAAAAGCTCTTAAAATGACGTTATTTAAAAAGAAATTGAGGCTTATTATTAATGTATTCTTCATTTTTTTTTTAATTCCGTCCTGTTAAACTTCTGACATGATTTACCTGTTTTAATTCCATGAGCACTTCTCGGGTCAACTTGAAATCTTGGGCTTGAAACCTCTTAACCATAACTTTCTGACCCTTAATAAAAATCAATTGATGCATAACAGTATTGTGAAGTCTTACAATGACGAAAATAACTCACCTAAAAACAACCACTTGAAATGAACTTATTTTGTAAAGAAGTTTTAATGTGTTTTTTTTTTCAGATATTCGTACAAAGCTACATAAGACCATCTGCACTAGCCGTACATAATTTTCAACTAATAAGCTTGAGGAAACTATGTAATAACTTCTACCAGAAGAGCTACTAAAATTATACAATAATAATTATAATTAATGAACAATAGTGTGGATTATGAGTGACAGGCAAACGATAAAATGCTTCTATGACCACTCTGCCCTAGACCATCACTTGGGTACCCTCCATTCTAGCGATGTTTTCGGTCCTTAACTCAAGAACACTTGACAAAGTTTGGCCTTCTTAGAAAAATGATCAAACACCGAAGTAGAATTGTCATAAGTAAAACTTCATATACTATGTCTATTCAACAGCATCCATCGACAACTCTAGGGTTACCCTAATCGAATAGAGAGGTTTAACTGTCACTCTTATAATACACTCATATCCTCAGAGTGCGGAGAGCGAATTATGGACCCTCAGATTCATAATCAGAGACACTAACCACCAAGCCAAGCCAGGCTTTAAAAAAATGAACAACATATCTATTGTTTAGATAGTCAACAGCACTCACCGCCAACTCTTGGGCTATTATAATCGAATAGTGGAATTTGACTGTCACTCTTCTAATGCACCCACAACTCCAGAGTGCGGAGCGTGAACTATGGAACCTCATATTTATAGTCCTACTTGTTAACTACTAAGCCAAGCTCGGCCTTTATAAATTGAACAAAATATCTACTGATTTTTAATATGATAAATTTAATTTTTATATTAAAATTTCCACAGACAGATGTAGTTAAGTAACGGCAGTATTATTTTGTTACTTCCCAACCAGTTGGGGAGGAAAAATTCTTTGACGATTTTCAAGAAGAATTTTTCAAAGACACTTATGTGTGCTGTAATATCATCTAATAAATCCAAGGTATTAGTAAATTAAAATCGTCGATAATAGTTTGACTCAACGCATGTACTACAGTAGAATCAGGTAACTTTGAATCTATTTAACCCTAATATTACCGAATTGTTTCTGTATCCGTTCACTACTACTTGTCTATGGCTTAGCTGGGATCTTAACCGCTCTATTTACCAAATAGTAAAGATCTGGGCAAGAAGTTTACAGAAGATCGGATGCTTGCATTACTATTTTTTTACATTTTATATTCAAAAAATTCATGGCGAAAGACTGCAAAATGGCAACATGTATAAATGTAAATAAGCTGTATAGCATATAAACAAAAAAAAATCACTTGATCATTCTCTTTGAGGAAAGAGCCTTAAATGAAATGTGATTTACGATTTCGTATAAAATTATACTGTCAGCTACTCGTTCCACTGTATTTCATTCAAAATTATCTGAGAATTAACTGATAACAACAGCAAAAAACAACACACGTTTAACACCTATTCCCAGGTTTGTTTCTTTTATTTTTATTTGGTATATATACATATTGTTGTAATTAAATAAAATGGTGAAAAACATGTGTAACCATCTGAGTTCTTGTGTATAGGTAGCTACTCCCTTGGTGGGGTACACATTTTGAGTAACTAGTGGAACGTGTTGAAGTTCGACAAAATATAAATAGAACTGGTATATTTCACTCAATTTACATTTTTATCTAACCATACAAAACTGAACTTGTGGCCAGTAAGATATGCCCTTTCTATTCTAAAAGTTCTTTTAAAACTAAAAACTATCTCTGGCAGTAGTGATACTGTGAGCACTCATCCCACCTTCAAAAGTCTTAATTAGTCACCCACGCTTGTGCATTTCTTAACAGGGGTGGGTGTTAATACCAACTTCATGTACTACCCCCTCCAAAATATGGAGGTGGATAAAATATGATGGAAAAAATATGTTTTAAATTTTTTATTAAAGTATAACTCCTCTGTACAGTCAAAATGCCAAAAAATCATTAATTATTGGAATATTTAGATATGTATTTCACTGAACATGACTTCTAGATTCATGAAATTTATCCAAAATGTTTGGCAGCACTAAATTTAGTTTAATATAAAAATACTGGTATTTTCGTTCCATAATGACATATCTTAAATCCAAATCTAAAATGTCGTCACATTGCTTACATAATTCACACAAGTTTTTCAATGCAATCTGGAGTAGTTGAACTTAATGCCCCAAAAATGTTATCAAACACAGTTTGCTGCTTTAACATAACAAATAATACACATAAAACTAACTTCAATCATTATCAAATTTGTTCCCTGATACTTTTAATTACTGTAATAATTACAAATGTCATTCTAGATGCTGAATGACATCAATTGCTCTGTTTAGGTCCTCGATCGTGACCTCTGCATTTGAAACTATGTTGTCTAGATACAGCTTTAAGTTTGCAAAATATGGTTGCAAAAGGAACTTCTTATGATCCTTCATCAGTATAAAAATATCACTATTTTTTGGCAGGGATAGAGATGTGTCCCTTGAATACCTCACTTCTAAGTACAACCTCGTGAGTTTTGTGTTGGTATCTGCCTCTGATTCAAGGTATTCATCTACATGCTTGGAAGACGTAAAGGGGACACCCACAGCTTTCAGACTTCTTAAATCCTTATTCTTTCTCTTGTCCAAAGCAAGGTTGGCTATTTCTTTGTTTTCAAGTAACTTCTTCTTAAGCTCCTCTTGCTTAGAATTCCATTGTAGGAAGAGCTCAGAGATCAAACTGCTTCTTCTGTTTGTATGATCCTGTGTCAGTTTTTCCTATCAAGCCTTTTGCCTCGGCCTTAATCTGTGCAGATTAAGCTGAACCTAGCTACTATGCCCCTCTTTTTGACAATTAAAAACTGATAAATCCTACCCTCCTCTCTGAATCGAAAATATGAATGGATGCTTTGTCAAATTTTTCACTGTCTAACTTGGACAGAGCATGTTGTGAACTCTTGTCATGCTCTCCAAATCCAAATATATCTCCTTTTTGTTTCTGGAATGCTTTTGCTAATGCTGGATGCTTAAGCCTGAGTAGCTTTATAACTTGTGGCTGATATACCTGAGCGACTTTTTCAACAGTCTCACATATCCCGTCATTGTACTTCGAATGCTGAAACCTATCCACTGTAACAAACTTAAAGGAAGGTTCCCTCACATTCATTTTCCATCAATTCATCGTAGAGATCTTTGAAGGCTGGGATGAGTTTCGAATACGTAGTTACACTGGATGTAGTGAGTGATAAGAATGGTTCTGCAAGGTGTATTCCAAGAAGGGTACCAACACAAGACATCACTTTAAAAAAAATCCAAATCTAGAAAGCATCGAACAATGCATGCCAACTGATTTATTATATGTTCAAACTTTCCAAGAAATGATGCAACATCATCATAGTGATACAGGGTAATAGCACATGTGAGAGCTAAACGATTAAAGCGTTCATCCTTTAGGCTTACAGATCTATTATTCTTTGGCAAAATGTGTATGTCAAATTCATTCGCCTTGCTTCAAGACCTGGATGTAGTGAGTGATAAGAATGGTTCTGCAAGGTGTATTCCACTGGTTGTGGCATTAACAAGAAAGTTTGAATATAGCTTATCCCAATGGCTCGTTCAAGTTCTGCCCAGGGTTTCATGATTACATGATTAAACATGAGACTTAGATGGACATTACAAAATAAATGGTCAGGCATTTTCTCTGAGCCTAGATGCTCTGAAACTTCAGCTTCCACACTGAAGTTGTGTGCTGTTTGATCAGTTATGACAAAGTCTGTTTTTTCAAACAATGTTTTTGTTTTAACAGCACTTGTTGCTGGGAGAATCTGAAGAGTTGTTAACTTCAGCTGAGCAAGGTTGGTTTTGCTTTATGAAACAATATTCATTTTTGGAAGGGCTCTGTACTAATAATGATTCCTTGCACTGTAAATGAACCAGCTCCATGTTTCTTTGGTCTGAATATGTGACCATTGTTTTATCCTGTGAGGACATTATTTCTTCCACGATCTGGTCTTGTGCCATGATTTCAGTGCTATTTTCTACATCTCTGACACATTTCTTTTCAGGAAGATTGTCCAAGTCTATTACATCTTCCTCATTATGATACTTCCAGTGTTTTCCAAATATCTTGTTAGCTGTTTCAACTACACCAGCTTCTGCTTGGTTTTGTGACATGTGAAAACAGCTTTTCATTTTGTTAACTGTTTCATAAAATTCTGCTCTGACCTTTCGTATATTACAGCGTACATACTTGAACTCGCTGGAGATTGGATCATCCAAAGCTTCAGATTCTTGGAAACTCTTCTCTTCTTCTTTGTAAGTGGATCACTCTCTGCTTCATCTGATGCTTTGTAGGACTCGTCACCATTATCCTCTGCTGAAGCTTCAATGCTGTCAAAAGTGGTTACTGTGGACATGTATTGTTCACTTTCTCTGGACTTTCTCATCTTGTAAAGAGCACGCAAGTTTTGGTTACGTCTTTTCGTTGTCTTTGACCACTTTTTATCTACATAGTTTTGACAATAAGTATTTCTCTCATTCGCTATATTGTAGAAATTTCCATTCAATATTCGCCATTTTGACACCATTAAAGTCCTGCAGCTTCTATCTTTGATCTAAAACCTCACAGAATATATATATATCAAGGACTGTTCCACTGCTTGAAATATAGTCGGCAGCTTTCTTGTAAAAATAGTCATTCTGTCTCTGTTTCCTTGTTTATCCAAGTTTAACAAAATCTTTATAAAGCTCGAGTATGTACGTCTGTATATTTTTAGTGGAAATTGTATACAGATTTGCATAACAGCCAGTGCTCCTGCAGAAGAGATGCTAGCATATCTGCTGCATTCTCTCTAGATCTTTGTGTCTGTCCTGAACGTTTTTGACAGAGAATATAAAGTATTACTTTGATAATGTTCTTTTTTATTGGAAGAGTTCAAAGAAGTCTGTACCTCCTGGCTGTAGTTTAAACAGATGGCATGGTCAGTTATCTGAAACAACAACAAAACTATACAATATAATTGGACTCACATGTGACACATTATTTCTTCATATTTATATAATATTATTATATTACTATTGCTGATTCTGTGTCAAGTCGTAGATAGTCATCTTGGATATTTGCAATTCCTTAACAATAACAATGATAATTATACTTAACTATGGTCAAACAAGCATAGCAATTCACTGGTTTCAAAGCTGATACCTGAAAATATATGTACATATTATTATTAAACAGCAATTAGAAGCATTCCAAAACTTGGTAGAAACCATCAAATTTCCTTATATCCCAATCTTCAAAGTGTATATTGTTCAGGTCAGATGGGGTTCACAAATTAAAAAAAAGATATCTCATGTCAGGTTTACTCACATTTTCACTGAAGTCAATATTAAAACGTGTAATCAGATATATAAGAAAATTATTTTTTCAGAAACCCAAAAATTAACAAAAAATTACTAATGTACAAATATTATACACTTCAAGGAGTACGTACAGGGGGTTAGAGGGAGTTAAAATGTTTGAAAAAATATCACCAAGTTTGTTTTGACCCAGTTCATAAATTCAGGAGAGGTAGAACTTTAATATCTGAAAAAAAGTGCAATAAGACCCACCCCTATTGTTAACAGGAAAACGACTTTATAACACCCCTCCTTCAAATGTTTTAACCAGTCATCCATGTTTTTGCACTTTTTTAACAGAATTTTCAGAAATCAATCAAATATTGAATTTTTAAACAAAAGTTTAGGATATTACACAGCACACCTATTCGAAACTGAAATAAAACAAAGTATGTTCAAACATACTTATTATATTTGTACATTTTCTTTAAAATATAAAAATGTAACATTTTTATTACCATAAAACGACATAAATGGTAGAAAAGCTTTTTTTGTTGAATTTTAAAAATCGGTTTGCATTTTAGTGAACGCTCCTGAAGAAGCTGTAAAGCGAAACGTTGGGTGTCTAATTAAATAAAAACAACATTTTGATGTTATAAGTTCGTTTTATATACGCCAATATGCACAACAATAAGCGTGCAGTAGTACGTAGCCCACAATTCTCCGGTTTCAGAGTAAGCATAGATACATAACAATACCATGTTTTGAAAATGATATTTACCTTGTATAATGCAACATTATTTTCAGCTTCTTTTGTTGTAGTGGCCATTGTTGATTGGGTTTTGTTCTGTAAGATAAACAATACAAACAATGATATTAGAATATAAAACAAACAACGATATTAGAATATAAAACAAACAATGATATTAGAATATAAAACAAACAATGATATTAGAATATAAAACAAACAATGATATTAGAATATAAAACAAATAATGATATTAGAATTTAATACAAACAATGATATTAGAATATAAAACAAACAATGATATTAGAATTTAATACAAATAATGATATTAGAATATAAAACAAACAATGATATTAGAATATATACTCAAAATGTTCTTTATTGGAAGATGATTTCCACTTTTTCACGAGTGAGTTTAAGATTTTTAGTTGTTAGTTATCATTTATTAAGTGATTTGAATCGATAAGTATTGGTTGTGTTAGGTGTTTGAGGAACTCACATATTTTTTTCCAGTTCAAAGTGCCAAGTTTCAAAAGTGTTTTGGCCGGCATGGCCAGGTGGTTAGGGCGCTTGGCTCGAAATCTGAGGGTCGCGGGTTCAAATCCCCGTCCCACCAAACATGCTCGCTCTTTCAGTCGTGGGAGCGTTATAATTTGACGGTCAATCCCACAATTCGTTGGTAAAGAGTAGCCCAACAGTTGGCGGTGGGTGGTGATGACTAACTGCCTTTCCGCTAGTCTTTCACTGCTAAATTAGGGACGACTAGCGCAGATAGCCCTCGTGTAGCTTTGCGACAAATTCAAACCAAACCAAACCAAAAGTGTTTTCTGCATTTGACAACTTAATAGGGCACAGATAGCAAAAAGACAATGTACGATTTTGTAGATCCTGCATGAGAAGTTCACATACATCATAAGCAATACAGAAGAACTCAATAATGTCTTGTCAGTCATTTAATAAATAGTTTCTTTTTAAGTAAAATAGACAGTAAACACAGCTTTCTGGAATGAACTTATTTTACAGGGAGTTATGCTGGTTCGTGTCTTGTCAGTCATTTAATAAATAATTTATTTTCAAGTAAAATAGAGAGTAAACATAACTTTTTGGAATAAACTTATTTTACAGGGAGTTATGCTGGTTCGTGTCTTGTCAGTCATTTAATAAATAATTTATTTTCAAGTAAAATAGAGAGTAAACAAACTTTGGAATGAACTTATTTACAGGGAGTTATGCTGGTTCGTGTCTTGTCAGTCATTTAATAAATAATTTATTTTCAAGTAAAATAGAGAGTAAACATAACTTTTTGGAATGAACTTATTTTACAGGGAGTTATGTTGGTTCGTGTCTTGTCAGTCATTTAATAAATAATTTATTTTCAAGTAAAATAGAGAGTAAACACAACTTTTTGGAATGAACTTATTTTACAGAGAGTTATGCTGGTTCATAACGGTAAAGTTTCTTCTGCTTCAAGTTTAGTAGTAACTTTGAGAATAAGGTTTCCTGTCATAACTCCCATTCAACAGTCACATACTTCTAGAAGCTAGAGAATGAAACTGGTAATTATTTAACAGGGAGTTAGGCTGGTTCGTAACGGTAAAGTTTCTCCTACTTCAGGTTTAATAGTAACTTTGAGAGGGTTTCACTATCTCATGCCCAAATGATTATAATACAAACTGGTTGGAATATCCGAATCTTTGATCTCTAAATCGCTGTTCTTGGTCATATAGCGTTTTTAGTCTTTTCTCCATTTCCTTTATTAAATAGGCGGTTGAGTACTTCACATTACAATGATTTTGAATATGAAAATCAACAAGTTGTGTGACAACCACAGTCGATGTAAAGTTGCTTGGAACGGTATGTATCAGAACTACTTTTTAACGTAGTTTGGCGTTTGAAGGAAATGTGAAAGGAAAGTTGTTCACTTCTGGGAATGCTATGTAACAGCCCTTTCCAACGCATAATATCCATACACTCTGATCGTAAAAATATTTTCAGATCGAGGATTTAGAATTTCTAAGACAGAGATATCCCTTGTACTTAATTACATTGGAAAACAAAGGAATGTGGATCAACTTAGTGCTCCTAGACCATCCAGAAAGAGACATGCAACAAGTCGTACTATAGCATGGTAAGTAAAGTATGGCGTTTGTGATATGTGAGAATCCACAAACACAAAAATCAATGGGAAAAGTCGTTCATTATTTCCCAGGAACAGTACACAGTACAACTAAGAAGAATCTTTCCCTGTAAAAGCGATACAAGTCACGTGTACACAGGTTGCTTCCACGATATATCCAGGAAATAATGTTGACACTCGACAAACTGTATATATATTTTGATAACTGTGACAAATTTTATGTTATTTTCTACTGGTCAATGGGTAAAAAAAATCCCAAAGTGCCTCATGGCAAGTTGCAAAACTGTTTCCAAACAATTTATGACCATGGCTGGATATTGCGCCAGGGGCAAGTTAGGGATAAAAATAGCGGATGGGATGCAAAGGTCAAGATTAACTATGTTTACTAACAGACTAATAATCTGGACTCTTTGTACCACAGAGAAATACTGGCTTTGTAAAGAAATGAGGGCAGCAGTGTATGGGCTCACCAGAATAAGATTTCCTGTCATACCTCCCACTCAATCGTCACATACTTCAAGCAGCTAGAGAATGAAATGGATAAATATATTATTTCCCACAAAGACTTGTTTGTTTGTTTTAAATTATGCACAAAGTTACACA